AAAATAAAGACAGGATAAAAGATCCTGTTCCTGGTCTGCGTGTCGACGGGCGTCAAAGACCTCAGTGCCAGGCAGAGTACGATTGGCTCTGCAATGGTCGGCGCATTGAATGCAAGAGTTCCCAGTTGCAATTCAACAGTCGGAGAAGTCGCTGGTTTTTCAAATTTCGTGCTGTCAAGCTTTCTCTTCAAGGGCATCGCGCCCAGGATGCATTTGACGACCTCGTCCTCGTGCTGTATTCTCCACGCAGAATTTATATTTACCGGCACGATCTGTCTACGGGGCTCACCACTGCAGGAAAGTTGACGCCATCACGGGGCCATGACATTCAGATTGCAAGTACCAAGACGTTGTGCTGGAGGACAGGCCTTGAAAGTATTCTCGCAAAGCTTGACGCAGGAACTACTGCTTGCGAGCGCGTTGCCGACCTTCCGCTGGAAGACTACAGAATCAGCCATGCAATTTCGAAGCGGAATGCTCATACCATGCATAATGTGTACAAAAATGTTCCGTTGGCAAGCTTGAGTCCGCCAGTTCGAGGCCTTGTCCTTCAGAGATTGGCCCAAGAGGTTGATGATGTCGTGTCTCAGATTTCATCCACTCCTGCAGGATGCAGTGCAGTGTATGACTGGAGTCGAAATGGAGTACGCGTGGAGTGCAAGTCTTCACAGCTGACTTGGTGCATGCGGAAAAAGGTCTGGCAGGTAATGTTTGCGCATGTCAAGATAGTGGGGAACTTACGTCAGAACTCCGTGTTTGACGAGCTGCACGTGGTGGTTTTCTCACCCAGGGGCATCTATATCTACCATCATGACTTGAAGCTTGGGGTCTCGTCCGCAGGTGTGGCCACTCAGGCAGAAGGCTGCAGTATTGTTGTACATGCCAGCTGCAAGGATGTGTCATGGTCGGACGGCCTCGATTCTATCTTGAGTAAGCTGGATCGTGGAGGCTGCCGCCGTCTTGCGCATATCCATTGGGACTAAGCAAAGACCACCCCCTGGATGTTCCCATCTTACTGGAGTTTTGAATTGAGGCCCCAAGCAGGAAGCTTGCGCCTTACTGCCGGCGCGATCATCCATCTTTCAGGGCAAAGCTTCCAATACAGCTCAGGATAGGCTCCTCTTTGCTGAGGTTCGGTACATAGCGCCGCGGCTAGAGGGCTACGAGAGACGCAGGATAAATCCAAGACAATTCCAAGAGGCGTCCAGATGAACCCCGCAGGAGGAGGTCTGTTAGCAGCCAGAAACAAGGATGAAGGAAGATTTGCATTCCCAGAGTAATGGGAGTATTCCAGAGCTGTTCCAGAGCACTTGGAATATTACAAGGTCGGTCTGCAGGATATTGAAGATCATTGCCGGAATGCACTTAGAAGGGCAGAGTAGGTTATAACATAGTCGCGTTGCAGGGGTACTGCAAAGGTCTTGGCAGGTTCTGTGCAGTGATGTGTTGCAGACTATTGTTCAGAGCGCGGGGATGCCCTGGAGAGATGGTATAGAGTATGCAGGAATTCTCTTGGAACGTTCTTAAGTGATCTTATCTTAGATTCATCTTCAGGCCCCTGTTTCGGATGCAGTTCGCCTATCAAGATGCTTGCGTTCCGCGAGTAATCCCAGGTGGAGGACGACGGATGGCGATGCCGTACAGGCCTCGAAAGAAATCAGCGAACATTCATGCCACATTCATCTGTCAATGCCCCCCCCAATGATCGATGCTGGCGGTGGGTTGAATGAGTGGTACTTCGACCGCAGTCTTCCCTGCGCGTGCCAACTTTGAATTATGAGGAGAAGGGGAGAAGGGGAGGAGGAGGAGGAGAAGGAGGAAGAGGAGGAGGGGCAGCAGCAGGCGCAGGAGGAGCAAGAGCAAGAGGTTGGACTGCGGGCGGAAGCTGGGCGGGTCTTGAAGCCCTCCAAGTTTTTGAGAGCGAGCCGCTCTCGTGCTCCAATCCCGTTGCGCTCCTCCGTTATTTTTCTCTCTTTGTCTTTTTCGGTTTCCTCCTCCTCGCTCTTCTCCTTTCCATGAGGCTTTTCCAGCCGTGCGGTGGTGTGCCCTCCAACCTCATCGCGGAGCATCGCCGCTCCCTCCTGCGACGTTGCAGACACCCTTATAACGTGAAACGCTCCCTAGGTGAGGTGCGCCGTTCGCTTCTCCTGTGCGAGCTGGACGGAACTGTGGTCAGGCGTGGTGAGGCACCTCGTCAGTGTGTCCGCCCGTCCACTTACTTCTCTCTGACGGCTGGCTAAGGCAAGGAGTGGCAGGTTGGTTCTAGCAGCACAAAGAATCTCCGTCCCATGGAAAGCAAAAACTCTTATGTGACTCGAGACGGCTATTCCTGTTCCGAGGTTGCTGCCATATTTTCTCCTGGCGTCATGTTTTGTTCCTTTGTCTTTTTACCCCCCCTCGCAATCGGAGAAGGGAGGAGGAATGGAGTCGACGCCGCGCACGGTGCACGAGGATAGGCTGTCCGCGAAAAGACAGGAGGTGGCGACGCACCAGCTTGAAGGGATGCCGACGAGACACGGAGAGAGAGAGAGAGAGAGAGCGCTGGAGAAGTACGGGAGTGTATCGGGCAGACGTTCCCCCACCGTCGGCTGCTAGCCTTTGTCGCGCATCGCGGTAAATGGGCGGGCCGCCCCATCCAACACAACACAAAGATACAGCCAGCATTTGGGCGCATCACCCAGAACATCTTCGCTAGGCCCGATCGGGGTAGGACACCATCCCAGAGCATAGATGACGCAGTAATTTGGCAACCGAGAGATCTCAACAAGATCCTAGATGCTCTCGCCAAGTACACGTTGGACAAGCACAAATCGCGGGTACATCCTTTTCCCGATAGCGCCGATATACCGCCCGAGGCGAACTTTGTTTGGTGCACGTCGACGGCCCGGCGCTCGCGAACTCCACTGCCCAGCGGTGGTTTGGTGCACCGCGAGGCCGTTTCCGTACGGGGCCGGGCGCAGGTTTGCACCCCAGTCATGATGCATGGGCTTACGCCGCACCGCCGACCCCTTTGGGTGCTTCGGTTTCTCTGGTTTCTTGGGGGCTTCTTGGGGCCTCTTGTTTTTTGAGGCCATCGCCTTGGACGACACGGTCCAGGCCATGGGCCAGGCCAGCTGCTACAGAACTTTTTGCGTTCGGCTGTCGCAGCAGCGACCTTCAAGCCTCCGCGAGATCAACCGCAAGTGTTCTAAGTTTGTCGTGTCCGCTCTCCGCTGTGGTGCTCCTCCGTCGGCTTCCCACTCTGGAGGAAAAACCACCCAGACCCGATAACTGGCGTTCACAAAACGGCCCTCGGCGTTTACTAAACAGCCCTGTCTTGCTCGATTCCTTCCGTGGGTCCGTTTACTAAACGGCTTCGCCTGTCGGGGTGCTTATTATGGGGGTGGAGTTTCTGCTCTCTATTCCCCCCCATCCTTCTTGCACCGCGCTCGCGCGGCACTTCTGGCAATACCCCCAGTCGGCGCCACGGCGCTACCGATCCGTTCTTGGAGGGGCCCGCTCTGGCGCGTCTATGTGAGCGTCCGTCCGTCCGTCCCCTCGCCCCCCAATTGCAACGTTCAGCGACGCACGCCGCGCGGCCCGCGGGGTCCCCCCAAGAAAACGCAGTCGCCAAAGTCGGCGCGAACATTGACATTGGGGGCCCAGGGGCGCCGCCACGTCGCGAGAAAAAAACAACTTGCGTTTGATTTCGCGGAGGGATGTACACAGGCACTTGGGAAAAAACGACAAGATCGTTGTGTTGTGAAGGAGGGTTGAGGAGAGGAGGGTTCGGGAGGAGGGCCCGGGAAGAAGGTTCCGGAGGGTCGTCGCGGGACGAGGGTTGGCAGGGGCGATGATGATTCAGGATGAGGGAGGCACTATGCTCCACGACAGCCGTGGTGCTGATGGCAGCGACGCCTGGCCGCTGAGGATCGCGTCTCCACCAGCACCTCTTCCGCGAGTTCGTCGTTCAGTGAGGGCACAAGGCCCCTCCTCCTCCCCCTCCTCTTCCTCCTCCTCCTCCTCCTCCTCTTCTCCCTGATGCCAGGCCGCAGTCACGAAATACGTGGGCAATGATGGAGTGAGACATCAGAAGACGGAGTTGAACGGCCGTCGATCAGATTGAAGGGCTCTGTCACTTCACTCACGGTCAGTGCCGATACGCACCCTCGCGCACGCGTTCTTATTCTCACCGCCGATTTAGTTTTGCTTGCAAGTCGCGCACGGATGGAGGCGCACACACTCTTCGACCACAATTGCGCGCAGTCGCGATCATGATAGCCGTCCTACTCACAGCTGGTAGGCTGGCTCCAGGATTTAATTCCCAGCCGTCCATGATCAAAATCAGGCGTGCAAGCCTCAAAGTTTTCGCGGTGCGCAACAGAAGTGTGACAGGCTGTGGTATGAAACCAACACGCGTTTCTGTTTTGAGGCCGTCGACCAAGAGATGCTTGCGATGTGTGTGTGTGCATTTATCTCGCCAGTCTGATTGCATATTGCGGAGGTCGTGCCCCTGAGCCTAGAACACGTGTCGAGCGTTGATGAGACACGGACACGTTGAAGTGAGAAAGAACTATTGCAGCTTCTCCAGCCCATGAGCGCGCTTCAGGGCTTCAAGGCCCGAACTGGTGCACAGCTGGAGCATCTGCTGATTTCATTGTGCTGGAACGACGGCACTGGTCAGCGGCTGTGCTTCGGAAGCGTTGCACTCTGTTGCCGCCTGTTTTGCCGACCAGTGCAATGGCTTACGTACTTGCAGAGGCCTTCTGCAGCGTATGTGGCAACATCACCGTGAGAGGACCTGAAACGCCAAGATGGCCCAAGGCCGCAGCGCTGCTTGCCACTTACCCGTGTCACGATATCTGGATGTCTTGGAATACGCACCCGTCTTCGGTCCAGTGAACGCCCTCGTGTGTTTTTGAGGTCATGTCGTTGATGTATACCGGCTTATCAAGTAGTGAGTGCGCCCAGGTCATTCCACGAGAGCACGGCGCGCATCATCGACAGGGCGAAGACGCTCGAGATGTCAGAGCAGGTCAGCGAGTGAGAAACGATAGAGAGAGGAAAAGGATGAAGCATGCGATTCGATGGTCTGCATGTGCGCTCAGGCAGGTACATCTGCGCTCCAGAGGTTGCGTGCGAGGAGGCGGCTTCGCTCCCCAGTGCTCCCTGATCAAGCCTCATCCGCTCGTTTTGCAGCGTAGCACTGCAATCTCGCCTGCCAGTACTTAAGGAGGTTCAGCATCGGCGCTGATACATCTGTGGTCGAAAACTGGCCGAATCCGGCCGAGTCCCGCTTAATTGCGCTGAACCCCGCTTCATCCAGCTCAATCCCGGGCTTGCTCTGGGTTAACTTTGCTAAGGGTCCCTCTATTCTGATTGAGAATATCCTTAAATCGTTCTTGCAAAGACCTCCCAGGAGTTGCTTCCCAAAGTGCTCTGAACGAGGATTTGGCGGGGGTTGCAAATATCTTCATGACGCGCCCAGCGCTCCCTGATCAAGCCTCATCCGTTCGTCTTGCAGCGCAGCGCTGCAGTCTCGCCCGCCAGTGCTCCGAACGAGGACATTGGGTGGGGTTCCCTGACTCCGGATTCGCTGTACCTTGGTTGGCTTCCCGACTGAACATAGTGTCGGAAGTGCACTCGAAACGATGCGAACAAGTAGGGCGGAGCTTTCCGCCTCGGAAAAGCAGGGCGGATCTCTTTCCGCAAGGGTCTGGCGGAACGGGCGACGGCAGAGCTGAGCGGGAGTCGACATCTCAAAGGGGCCCGACGAGCAGGGCGGACAGTTCCGCCCTGCCCACGAAATCACCCGAAGCCGGGCGCATCCGGAGTCGGGGGACGAAGACTGGGCGTGTGTGCCCGCGCTCTTCGTGGCGCGACCCGCAGCGCGGCGGCGCCCGCAGGCGGACAACCTCCGGCGCGGCGTGTCGCGCGGCCTCGAGCAGGCTCCTTGGGGAGCTCGCCTTGGGTGGCGGCAGCAGTGGGGAGGAGGAGGAGGAGGAGGAGGAGGAGGAGGAGGAGGAGAGGAGGACAAGGAGGAGGAGGAGGAGGAGGAGGCGGAGGAGGAGGAGGAGGAAGGAGGAGGAGGAGGAGGAGCAGGAGGAGGAGGAGGCGGAGGAGGAGGAGGAGGAGGAGGAGGAGGAGCGGAGGAGGCGGAGGAGGAGAGGAGGAGGCGGAGGCGGAGGGAGGAGGAGGAGACGGAGGAGGCGGAGGAGGAGGAGGAGGAGGAGGAGAGGAGGCGGCGGAGAGGAGGAGGGAGGAGGAGGAGGAGGAGGAGGAGGAGGGCGGAGGAGGAGGAGGAGGAGGAGGAGGAGGAGGCGGAGGAGGAGGAGGAGGAGGAGGAGGAGTAGGAGGAGGAGTAGGAGGGGGAGGAGGAGGAGGAGGAGGAGGAGGAGGAGGAGGAGGAGGAGGAGGAGGAGGAAGAGGACCAGTGCAAAGCCAGGACGCATCAACGATGTTGCAATCAACCCTCCTTCCAATTGCGGGACGTGCCCCATGTGACGACAACCGTCTGAGAATATTCAATCGCGCCTAACACCATTCTAGGACTTGCGCGCCACGAGTCCACGTGACGCCTGCGTCTTGGCAACCCCAAATCGCGCCAGAGTACCATTTCTGGGAATTAACATGTCACTGCAAGTCAACGCGGAGGAGGAGGAGGAGGAGGAGGAGGAGGAGGAGGAGGAAGAGGAGGAGCGAGAGGAGGACAAGGAGGAGGAGGAGGAGGAGGAGGAGGACGAGGAAGAGGAGGAGGATGACGATGAGGAGGAGGAGGAGGAGGAGGACGAGGAAGAGGAGGAGGACTCGGAGGAGGAGGAGGAGGAGGAGGAGGAGGCGGAGGCGGAGGCGGAGGAGGAGGAGGAGGAGGAGGAAGAGGATGAAGAGCGGGGCTGGCTGCATGAGGCGGGGGACGGGGGGGCGCGGTGCCTGTGCCGTGCCGTGCCGTGCCAAAATGAAGCGGTCGGGGCGGAGGGGGCGCGTTGGCTTGGAGGCGAGGAGGAGGAAGTGGAGGAGAAGGAGGGGGAGGAGGAGGAGGAAAAAGAAGAAGACGGCACATATTAGTAATACGACTAATAGAACGAATCATACTCGTAATCGTAAGCGTAACAATCATCAGACTAATACTTATAATTCGAAGATTAACCATGTTAATGCGAATCGTAATAATAATAGTACTACTATTAGAGTAAGAATACGAGTAAGAGGAATAATACGAATATAGGAATCATAAGAATACGAATAATAATAAAAAAAAAAAAAAAGACGAGCATGTCGAAGAAGAGGAGGAGGAGGAGGAGGAGCTGGGCTGGGCTGGCAGCGGGGCGGGGGAATGGGGGGCGCGGTGCCTGTGTCGTGCCGTGCCGTGTGAGAATAAAGTGGTCGGGGCGGAGGGGGCGCGCTGGCTTGGAGGCGAGGAGAGAAGAGGAGCTGGGCTGGCTGCGGGGGCGAGGAGGAGGAGGAGGAGCTGGGCTGGCTGCGGGGCGGGGCAATGGGGGACGCGGTGCAGGTGCCGTGCCG